GTGGTGGTGGATGCGTCGTGTTTGGGGTGGAGAGCACGGCGGACACGGGCGTACCGCCATAGATCTCAAAGGCGGGGGCGTAGAAGAAGCGGCGCTTCATGAGATCCTCAAAGCCTTCGCGGTTGAAGGACGTGTCCTTGTGTTTCTCGAGCTGTCATAATGTATGTGTGTGGGGGGGGGAACCCTGGGTGAGTGTGGGTCCTTGATGCTTGCACGTGTATGACTCAAAGAAAAAGAGATAGAGAGAGTGTGTGTACGTGTGTGTGTGTGTTGTGACAACAGATACGACGGTATTAAAGTGCATTGCAGTTGGTCAAGGGCGTGCTCCTCTTCACGTCAATCACACCTCCTCGTGCAGCTTCTGCTTGCGAATGTCGAGCTCGGCCATGGCGGCCAGGACATCCTCCTTTGCAGCGCCGCTCTTGCGCAGATCGCGCACGCGGAATTTCTATTATGCCGCAAAGGGTGGAGTTGAGCATGAGCATGGAACGGGGAGGGGGCGGGAGACGTGGAATCAACAGGCAACGCGCATGGACACAGACGTGCACAGATGGACAGACGTGCACAGATGGACAGACGTGCACAGATGGACAGACGTGTACAGATGGACAGACGTGTACAGATGGACAGACGTACACACACACACACACACACAAACACCACACGAACACCACACATGTACACATGTACACACACACACACATGTACACACATGTACACACACACACACATGTACACACATGTACACACACACACATGTACACGCACACACACACACATGTACACACATGTACACACACACATGTACACACACATGTACACACCGCCTCGTCGACGAGGGCTTCCAGCTTCTGCCTTGTAGCCATTGTGCACCGTGCCGAGCGGATAACAGAGGGCACTCTCAGCACACTTCGCAGCAGTGTTGTCGCTATCTTTGACGTCGTCGTTCAACAGCGGTGGCAAGTGTTACAAGTCGAGTCGAGCGAGCAAGCAAGCAGGCAGTTGCACAGCAAGAGGGAAATGGGCGGAAATCGCACACGTGTGTGTGTGTGTGTGTGTGTGTGTGTGTGGAGTGTGTGCTTTCAAGACCAAACAGCACAAAAAGGAGAGGAAGCAGGACTCGCACGAACCAAGCAAGCAAGCAAGCGAGAGTGAGCGAGCGTGGTTGGTGGCTTGCTTTCTTTGTGGCTGCGACAGGTCTCGAGTGCGTGTGTGCATGTGCGTGTGCCTGTGTGTGCCATGCGAGACAACACGGGGGGGACACAGCAAGTGACGGGTGCATTGCGTTGCGTTGATTGAAGGAGGGCGACCGAGAGAGACGGAGGGATGAGGATTGCTGGGCTTCGCCGCAGGTGCGGCGGGGGCACGCTTGTGTCACTGGCACTGGTGCTGCTTGTGGCTGGAAGCGTGGTGATGCTGCTTGCTCCTCGTCCTCCACAACACAAGACGTGGTTCACGGGCTGGGCCCGTCAGAGTGGTGGCAGTGGGCACACTGGTGCTCGGCGACGACGTCGTGTGGGCATCGGCGAGGATGGCAGCCTTGATGTGGCTGGTGACGGCGACAGCGGTGCTGCTGGAGGGCGGTCAGGGCTGTTTGGGTTTGCGCAAGTGGGTGAACCAGACACGGCAGTGGTTCGCAAGCTGGTGATCAGCCATGGCCTTCCTCCCGGTGGCTGTGATACCGTTCACTTGGCCGCCGTCTCCGTCGGCTACGCGCAGTCAGCGCACCTGCGAACCATGCTCAAGAGCATCCTCCTGCACCGGTCCTTGCCCATCCACCTTCACGTCATCACAGGTGTGCGGGTGTGTGTGTGTGTGTGTGTGTGTGTGTGTGTGTGTGTGTGTGTGTGTGTGTGTGTGTGTGTGTGTGTAGGTGTGTGTGCACGGGTGTGTACATGTGTGTGTGCACGTGTATGTGTGTGTACCTGTGTGTGTGGTGCTGGCTCAACCATCTCTCTCCTCCTCTCCTCTTTTTTCTTCTCTCTTCTTCCCCTTCCTCTCGCTTCCTGCCTCTTCCCTCCCCCTCATCTCTACTCCTCTCCCCACCCCCCTCATCTCCAATGCTGTCCTGCAGATGACGCGACGCTGCCTGTGCTGGATGTGATGCTGGGCACATGGGGCATTCGTGCGTTCAACTATACCCTGTACCCCGGCGACCGCCACTTGTCTGCCATCTCGTGGGTGGAGACGAGCCACTACTCGGGCCAGTATCCGCTCCTGAAGCTCTTGCTTCCTACGCTGCTCGCAGACGTGCAGCACGTGATTGCGCTGGACACAGACCTGACCTTCCGCGCAGACATTGCTGAGCTCTGGCGCATCTTCGCCATGTTTGAGGCCGAAGAGGCCATCGGCGTCGTCGAGAACTTGTCAGGTGGGGAACGGAGAGGCGGGAGGCGACTATGCATTTGGCGCGCGCGCGCGCGCGTGTGTGTGTGTGTGTGTGTGTGTGTGTGTGTGTGTGTGTGTGTGTGTGTGTGTGTGTGTGTGTGTGTGTGTGTGT